GCCTTCCCGTAAGCTTCTTCGGCAAAAAGTATAGCGCATGTTCGTCCCCTCTCGCTTGCACACCTACCGGACCAATCGCATTAGGCACCTCTTTTGCGCGTTCCCTCTTCTCCATCTGCACATCCCTCAACCTGTTTCCCACTGGCGTGACCAGAAAGCTGGCCAGGCGGTGCTTGGAAGATCTGAGCGCGTTGAAGGCGCTTTCGGAAGAGGAAATTTTGGATGCTTGAAGGATGATTTGCGATTCGAGTTGCGATAGCCGACGAGCGCATTCGACTAGACGCTCGTTGGCCGCTCTCTTGTTTGCCAAACGAGACGCTAGTTCGGCTCGACGCTTGGCCTGACGTCGCAACGCAAAAAGAACAAAAAAGGTGCCGAACATGCCAGCAGCTGTCAGCAATCACTTTTCCGAACGTCATTCGCACCTCGCACCTCGCGCTCCCCCGACCCAAGTTGCGAGCTCTTCCAGCGCAAGTTCTACCATTGGCTATTTTCTCTACTTGCACAAGCAACACCCAATCCAATCCCCATTCCAAATGCGCGCATACACTCACCCCTTCCCCACTAGCCATCCTTTCGTTCTCTTCCTTGGCTTTGCCCAATGTGCTATTGAGCATGCCAAACATTCTCTTGCCCCTTTTTGCCAGCTCATTGTCCATGCGAGGTCTGACTCTCCTCTCATCTTTAGTGGCCGGCGCGACCGCTGATTCCTTGTTCTCTCTCTCCCTGGTCGGACTCATTTCCGAACGCGACGCCTGCTCCGCTTCTATGGGCTGATCCACTTGACCAGGCGCAAGCGTCGCAGAGGTAGTTTCCTCTTCAGCAGCAGCGTCCGTCATCGCGACGTCTGCTTGCTCCTCTCTTTTTCGTTCGTCAAGCCGCAAGGAATCCGTAGCAGCTTTTGCGCCCGCAGCTCTGCGTGCTTGTCTAGCTGAAGAGCGAGTCGAAGGGGCCTGAGCAAGTTCCGTCTTTGACATTTCCACATCTTCTTTCGTGTCCTGCATGACAGGCGACACGCACGTGGCTGGCTTGTCGTCCAGTGGCGCCGTGACAGGCTCTGATTCGTGACCGTGACCTGCCATTTCCATCGCTGTGTGCTTCGTTGCATCGGAAGTGGCAGAATCAGCCGCTCTGCGTCTAGGTGGAGCAGCATCGCCACTAGGTGCAGCTAGGACGACAGGATCGGACTCGATGACTAGCGCTATCGGCTCTTGTGCTGCCTCACTGCCCTGAGGGACTTGACCATCAGCTGGCGTGTTGCTCTCCTCCATTCCAGAGACAGCTTCGCTATTGGTCTTGGCTGAGTGCGTCTCCACTTCTACTGCAGGTGATGCATGGGCAACCTCTGCTTTCGTTGCTGATGACATCTGCACAGCTTCTGACTGCGATGACTGGTCTGGCTCGACCTGCTCCTGCACCTCTTCTTCCTCGTCATCTCCAGCACCTTTTTCCTTCTTTGGCGATCTGGCGCTCTTGCCATTGCTTGATGTGCTGGCTTTTGCGCGATTCGAAGCTGCGCCATTGCCCGCAGCGGCTACTTTCCTTGTGCTAGCCCTCCCCTTTTCCTTGCCCTTTGCATCTCCTCCACTGCCAACTTGCGGCTCAGCTTGCCTTTCAGCACCATCTATCGCGACTTTGGCTTCTGTTTCTGCCGCTTGAGCTCCTTCAGAAGCTTCGTCGATCGCATCTTTGGCTGATCGAGTGGCTCTTGTAGATCGCGTGGATCGTGTGGACCTCGTCGCTGGCATCTCGACAAGCTCGGCCTGATGTTTTGGTTGCAGATTGCGCTGGGCTTCTGCTCTTCGGGATCGAGGATCGAGGTGGCCAAGGGTCTGGATGGTGCGTGGATTGACCTGCGAATATTCGCAGGCGCAAGAAGTTGAGGGGAATGTATCACAAGTGGGACATGTACAGTATGCTTGGGAGTTTTGAAACGTCGTGCGTCGCAGTCAGGAGCGCGAGTCAACAGTCGACTGATGATCAGACGGATCACGCACGTATGGTCAATGAAGTCACCAGTGAATCACGAATACTCACGAATGCCGCGTGCGCATATGCATGGGTCAAGTCAAGAGTCACGAGTCACACAAGTCTTGAAGCTTGGCCTCGATCGACAGACTTTTTCGTTGCATCATCAGCTGCATGCCTAGCCATGCTGCGAACGCGAACGCGATCTCGTGACAAGCGATATAATCTTGATGAATCTTTAAATGTGGGACTTTTGACTAAATTAAAAAGATTTCACATTCTGAATCACGTGCCGCGAAAGGTGCCAGCTGGATAATCAAGAATTCAAGATTTGCATTCACGATTCTTGATTGTGATTTGAATGGTCACATCCATGCACAGATCAGCTGCGTCCTGCACAAGAGAATTAAGTGGGGGGAGCAGGTCAAACAGGTACATCTGATTGATGCCCTCGCTTCTGTTGTAGCTAGGAGCTCAGCGTAGTAATAAATGTCCTGGTCTGTCGCATAGTCGGATCTCGAAGCGTTCGTGCGCATGTCTGTCGGTCGGTAGGTGACAGCGGTGGGTGGCAGCTAGCTCGCTCGATCAAAGGGCTGATCGATCAGATTTTCGACGAATTGTACGGCAAGGCGTCAAGGATCGTGAAGCGGGCGCAGCGCGTCTTTGCGTGCCTGTTGTTCTGCGTTGGTAGGGCCAAAAGGTAATCTGGCATTCGTGCTTGCAGACCTAGATTTTCTTTCAAACACCACACTTCAAACAAGTGAGCGAGCCATCCCCCTCTTTCTATTCCTCTCCCTAGCTAGCCGCTATCTGAAAAGGCTGCACCTTGCCACACCTAGCGCCAAACTGCACTCCCGTACGCGTCCCTGCAAGAAACCGCAACGCCAGTTCCAGTTCAAGCTCCCATCCTCAGTCCAAACTGATTCCCACGTGCGCAATTTCATTCCTTGTCTTCCGTCCGTCTTTTCAAAATAGCCAGAGGTCCCATCGGCGCAGAGGGCGCTTGTCCCGCGTCCAATGTCCCTCCTCTGCGTCCTGGTTCCTGCCCACGCTGAGCCTTCGCTCCATTCTTTGCCTTTTTTTCTCCTCCCTGCGCATACGGCACACCTTGACCTTGTGCCTTCTGTTTAGCAGCATGCTGAGCTTTGCCAGATTTCGCCGCGAGCGCCTTGGGTCCCGTCGGGGTCGCTTGCGCTTCGAAAGGTCCATCAGCCGTGATCGGAGCGACGTGCTTGTCCTTCTTTTTGGAACGCCCTGCATCAGCTTTCGGACCCGTCGGTGGCGCTTGTTGAGTTTCATCCTTTGTTCGAGATGGACTCTGCGCTTGTGCCTTGCTGATCGTCTTTGATTTGTCTTTCTTGGGTGTCGAGCCGACGCTCGAGGGTATCGGACTAGAGCTGGAATGTGCCGCCGCTTCCTTCTTCGATTTCTTTGGACCCTTCGGCGTGTCCAATTTGTTCTGGCTCGACGAAGGCGCGTGTCCAGAAGAGGAAAAAGAAGCGTGCGCTTGAGACTTTGACTTTTTGGAAGAGGCAGCAGCGGCAGCTGCTGCTGCTGCTGCGGCGGAGGCTTGTTGTGCTCGCAAATGATCCAATAGCGGAGTCGTCTTTTTGACGTTTGCACCGGCGCTGGACGATTTGGACTGCAAGGCTTCGCCCGACAGAACGGTCGATGCACCTGTCGGAGATTTGCAATGCGTGAAAATTGCGTGGGCAGACAGGAAACATCACATACGCGCGACTCACCCTGCTGATTTTCTTTGTCTGCAGCTTCACCTGCTCCTGCCGCTTCCGGATTCTCTAAAGCAGCAATGAAGCCTAGATACGTTGCATCTGCAGAGGCAATCATGAACTCGAAGGCGATCCATTCAGCCAACTGGGTCCAATGCGCCCAGCTCGGTAGCTTCCTAAAACGCACCCTCGTCGATCGTTCCCACCCTCGCGTCCGCCTTTTGAGCCTTTTCCATGCCAGGCACTTTTTGATTTGGTGCGAATTCCACAATCGCAGTGTATTCGTTGCCTAGTGTGCATCGGACGGAGCGCGGCTTAGCGGAAAGTGAGCAAGGAGGAGCAAAGTGGATGGTGGCGTATTGGAGAAAAGGAGAGGAGGCCTGTGCGCACCTTTAGAGTCCCTAAAACCGTGACCATCGAAATTGCGATGAAACTCGATGAGGGCTTCGAGGGAAGTGAAGCGAATGTATGCGCGGGAGTGTCGATGTTGGACGGTGCGAGCGTCATTCAGAGTGCCTTGACGACTAGAGTGAACAAGGAGTGGCAGTCGTCAGCTACAATGAATCGTACAAGCGTGCAATCCTCCAATGTCGAATCGGCCCAAGTGATCACGGCGCTTTCGCGCTCTATTTTGGTGTTTTGCGACCCTCGCACGTGTTCGAGCACGCCCGCACGCCTGCACTCACCTCTCCTTGATCTTGCCCTCGACAAAACGCTTCCACTCGATCGTCTGTTGCAGCGGCGTGTGCATCTGTCCCGCTTCTGCGCTCGTCTGACTATTGACAGCCTGTACATCCTCCAAGTCCCTCACCCAAGGTCTGACCACATTCCAAAAGATTTCCTCGGGAAGATTAGGTGGCAGCCTCCTAACAATCACCTTTAGCTTTTGTAAAGGAACTTTGGAGCGAGATGCGCGATCTTTGTCCTTGTCCTTATCTTTGTCCCTTTTGGACTTGGATTTGGACGATGATTTCGATTTGGACTTTGATTTGGAGGTGTGATTGGAATTGGGAGCGCTTTGCGCGTTCGGGTTGGTCGGAGCAGATGCAGGCTGAAGTAATGATTGCACTTGGGATGCGAGTTGAGGAGACAAGGCTCGCGGTTCTGCCTTTGGGGCTGCCGAGTTGGAGAGAGGGAGCTTGTTGTGCGAGTCGTGCTGCTTGCTCTTGCTCGTCTTTTCGCCCCTTCGATGCTTACCTTCCTTCGTCGTCGTCTCCTCCTCCTTTAGAGGTGCTGCCCTATGCCCAGCTTCCAACAGCTCCGACCTGTCCGCTACACTTGCACCTTTGCCCTTCGCATCCTTGTCCTTGTCACTTTTGTGAGTGTGACTGTGGGGTGGTCGTCTGCGCTTCTTGTCTTGGTTGGCTGAAGCGCTGGCAGCAGCTCCTGACCCAGACGCAGAAGGAGCAGGAGCAGGAGCAGGAGCAGGAGCAGGAGCAGTAGCTGACATTGGACCGTTGGTGTGCGTGGAATGATGCCCGCCAGCAAAGACGGCAGCAAAGAAAGACGAGAGGGCAAGGTGGTGAATGCTTGGAAATGCGACATACAATCAGTCGTGAGTGCCGCATCCCGCCGAGTCAAGTCGTGAGTGTTGCAACTCACAAATTAAAGGCGGCCCGGCCCGCGTGCAGCAGGACGGCGCGCTGCATGCATGTGCGTGCGTGCATCACACGCACGGATCTCTTGCGCGTCCCACTCTCACCGCCTTTGTTGATTCACGCATTCACATTGTTTGTGACATGTGACTTGTCCCGCGCAAACGCGCACACGCGCACACGCGCGGGCCACAAATGAATGACAAAGCACGCGCGC